AATGTTTTTTGTACATTATTGCACACTGAGTGCTGTCTTTTGACTAGACTCTGGGTTAGAATATAAAGCTAAAGAAAAATTAAACAACAACTTAAGAATAGATTTAACTAAGAAGGTGAGATCTGTACACTGAAAATGGTAAGACAGTGATGAAAGAAATTTAAGATGACACAAGTAAATGAAAAGATATCCCATGTTCGTGGATTGGAAGAATACTGTTAAAATGTCCATCTAAAAATTCACTGCAATACTATCAACATTAAAATGACATTTTCCACAGAAATAGAAAAGTAATCCTAAAATGCACATGGAACCCTAAATTCCCCCCAAACAGCCAAAGGAATCTGAACAAAAAGAACAAAGCTAGAGGCATCACATTACCTGATGTAAAATCTACTTCAAATCTATTATTTAAAAAAACAGCATGGTACTGACATGAAACAGATACATAGATAATGGAACAGAATAGAAGATCCAGAAATAAGTCCACACATTTATAGTTCACTGATTTTCAACAAAGATGCTTAGAACACACAATCTCAGCCACACAAGAGTCTCTTCAATAAATGATGTTGGAAAAACTGTATATATTATATATATATATATATTTTTTTTTAATAGCTTTATTTTATTTATTTATTTTTATGTGGTGCTGAGGATCGAACCCAGGGCCTCACATGTGCGAGGCGAGTGCTCTACCGCTGCGCCACAACCCAGCTCCCAGAAAACCTGTATATTGATATACAGAAGAATAAAATTAGATCCTGGTCTTATATTACATATAAAAATCAACTCAAATGGTTTAAAAACTTAAACTTAAGACCTGAAACTATAAAACCACTAAATGAAAATACAGAGGAGGGGCTGGGGTTGTGGTTCTGTGGCAGGGCCCTTGCCTTGCACATGTGAGGCACCGGGTTCAATTCTCAGCACCGCATGAAAATAAAATAAACAAAATAAAGATATTGTGTCCGTGTATGACTAAAAAAAAAATTTAAAAAGAAAAAAATATATAGGGGAAAAATCTCCATGAATTGGTCTGGGCAATAAAGATTTTGAATAGGAACTTAAAAGTATAGGTAACTAAAGCAAAAATAGACAACAGGATCTTCCAAACCTAAAAGGTCTGCACAGTAAAAGAAACAATTACCAAAGTGAAGACAAATACTTGCAAACCACACATCTGATATGGGGCTAATGTTACATAAGGAACAATTCATTGGTAAGAAGACAACCTCATTATAAAATAGGCAAAGGAATTAGACACTTTTCAAAAGAAGATATGCAAATGACCAACAGGTACATAAAAAATGCTCAACATCATTAATCATCAGGGAAATGAAAATTAAAACCACAATGAGATCTCACCTCAGATCTGTCAGGCTGACTATCATCAAAAAGACAAACTGTAAGTGCTGGAAAGGATGTGGAGAAAAGGAAACCCTTGTGCACTGCTGGTGGGAAGGTAAATGAGTAGAGCCATTCTGGAAAACAGTGTGGAGGTTCCTCCCAAATTAAAAATAGAGGTACCATGTGATGTGGCAAACCCACTACCCAATATATATCCAAAGGAGACTAAACTGATATGTCAAAGAGACATCTTCAGTCTCGTGTTCATTGCAACATTATTCATGACAGCCATGCTATGAACTCAACCTAAGTTTTCATTAAAGGATGAGAAGATAAAGAAAATGTGAGATATATATATATTGAAATACCACTTAACCTTTAAATAGAAGGAACCCTTATAATTTGTGACAACATGGATAAACCAAGGGGACGTTATGTGTTAAGTGAAATAAACCAGACACAGAAAGACAATTATTGCATGATCTCACTTATATATGAAATCTAAAAAAAAAAAAAAAAAAACACCTCAAAAGAGTAGAATGGGGCTGTGGCTGTAGCTCAGTGGTAACATGCTTGCTTGCCTGGCACATGTGAGGCACTGGGTTCGATCCTCAGCACCACATAAAAATAAATAAATAAAATAAGGGTATTGTGTCCATCTACAACTAAAAAAATTAAACTAAAAAAAAAAGAATAGAATAGTGGTTACCAGAGCCTGGGAATGGGAAGATTAGGGAGATGTTGATTAAAGGTCACAAAATTTCAGTTTGACAGTAGGGATAGGCTCATGAAAGCTATTGTACATTGTGGTGATTATAGTTATTAACAATATGTTGTATATTTAAAAATTGCCAAGAGTAGATTTCCAGTATTCTTACTACAAAACTTCATAAGAGTGTGAGGCAATGCATATATTAGCCTGATTTAGCCATTCCACGACATATATATATATATATATATATATATATATATATATGGATATGCGCACATACGTATACATATATATACATACACATCATCTTATACCATAAATATAAGCAAATTTTACTGGTCAATTAAAATAATAATAATGATAATAATAATAAGAAGAATAAGAATAGACCAGTAAGACTTGCTTTTCTGTTCCTACATACCTGAGATGCACTGCATTTGTTACAGACTAAAATCCATATGGTGAAATCCCAACCTCCAGCACATATCTGAATGAAACCATGTCTGAGAATAAGATCTTTAAAGAGATGATTAAGTTAAAATGAAACTATTAAGGTGGGGTCCTAATCCAATGATCAGCGTCCTTTTAAGAGGAGGAAGAGACACCAAGGGTGTGTGTAAACAGAGGGACAACATAAAGACAAAGCCCAAGAGGATGACCCTGAACAGATGCCTCAGAGAAACCAACTCTTCCACACCTTGGACCTAGACTCCACCTTGATTTTAGATTTCCAGCACTTGACCTTGAATTTGTAACTCAAAAGTTCTAGTTTTAGAACTGTGAGAAGATAAATTTCTGTTAAGTCCCTCAGACTATGCCTTTTTGTTATAGAAGCCCTTGCAAACCCCTTCATTAATAAACTCAATCATCATGCTGTACGCCAGGCACTAAGTTCTTTATAAACATTTAAACATTCAAACACCTTTCTACCAGTGCCAGTGAACTATGATGGCTCAATTTCTGAAGAACGAGGAAGGGAGAAAAGAGTATCTCCTCCTCAAAGAACAACTCACAACTGTAGAGTTGGGGAAAGTACCCTTCTTAAGAGACAAGTATCAAGACGTGAAGATGGTGTTTATCACTAGTAATAACAATAGTAAAATCTTAAAAATCATTAAAAGCCAGCATTAACTGAACACTTATTGTACATAGGTGAGTGTCAGGCATATTATAAGAATTCTTCTCATTTTCCCCCACAGCAACCTTAAGAGGTAGGAATAGTTCATTCCCTTTATTTACAGAGTTTGGGAAGAGCAAGCTAGTTATTCAGTCAGTACAGAGAATCAGGATTAAGACCCAGATCTGTCTGATTTCAGTATCCTGCACATTGCCTAAGGAAGTGGCTGGGGACAGGTGGTGGGTTTTGAATGGGAGCATGAATTTGTCCTTGATGCAGGAGGTCATTGGAAGTAGCAATCTTTGAAAAGAAAAGATAGTAGGGAGAATTTAACAGTCTTAATTTAGCTTCTCTTATGGCCAGGTATCAAGCTTTGAACTTAGAACAGTTCTGAGAAACAAAAATTCTTGCATTTTTTGTTATGGACATCAAAATTGAACTTCAGGGAAGCTAAAAGATCTGACCAAGGAAGTGGTGGAACCGGAGAGATTGACATGGGAGGCTCCTAATCCTGCATCTGCCCAACTCCTCTGCACCCTCCTCTGCACCCGCATTTCTGACTGCCAAGGAAGGCATAAGGCCTCCAAGCTCTGAACAGGCAAGTTATATGTCACACCACAGTCTTTACCAAGATGCAGCCTCAAACATGACCAGGCAACCCTGCCCAAGAATGTTTCAAGGGGCCCCAGTTTTCTATGATGTTCCATGGAAAAAGTCTGATGGTCAATAAAGTTTGCAAGTGCTGCCCATTATCGTTGTCTTGCCTCAGAAATGGAGTGTACAGCAGCAGATTCTAAAGGTTTTGAGAAGTTCTACAGTTAAAAAAAAAATCTGTTTCCTTCATTTGGCTGAAGATTTCCTCAATTTATTTGGACCACATTGGTCAGTTAATATACTTTGCAGAACCCTTTTAGAGATACTGCAATGTAGGACTAAACAGGGGGTAAAGAAAGACAGGCTGGGGCTACTTTCTGAAACTAACCAAAATGCAGACTTTTTTTTTTTTTTTTGTAATTTAAGAAGGATCAAACCCTTTGTTGTTTACGTTTAGTTTGCTTTCTACTGAGAGAACAGTTGAAAAACAAAACAAAATAAAAAATAAATAAAAATGATAGGCAATAAATCAGAGGAGGGAAGGGCTATTTACATTCCCAAACCTCTTAGCTCATCCTGCACCTTCTATCTTCCATGCCAACCCCACCCCAACCCCATTCCATTCTCCACCCTCTTCCCTCAGGGCTGTTCTCCAACTAGGCACAAGTAGTGGCCAGGACAACTTGCAATGCCTCCTGCCCCTAACCCTTACAGCACAGACATGGTGACAGAGAGGCATCAAAGGTCTACCCAGGGCAACCTGAGCTGACAGATTTCAGGGAAACCCAAGAAGCTGCCCGAGTCAATCATCTCTCTGCCACTCCCATGGGGTGGGGGAGGAAGACTGCCAACATTTCCTTTCAAATTTATGGGTGCTGTGCTTCTTCTATTTCTCTTTCTGCTTGTTTTCTAAAATGAAGATGCAGCATTTGCAAGTTAAAGAACAGAAGAAGGGACAGGAGTAGGAGGAAGAGGGAAAGATGAAGGAGGGAGAGAACAAAAGGAGGGAAAGAGTGGAGGAGGAGGAGGAGGAGGAGGAGGAGGAGGAGGAGGAGGAGGAGAACTCCTCCTCCAGAGAATGCTCTGCAGGAGCTAGACTAAGAAAACCTACCGGCAGCACCCAAGCCCGACTGGTGTAAATTCTGAGCTGCAGGGTTCCCCCCAGCCACCCCTTAACCAAAGCCACCCAGATGCTCGGGCACCAGGCGCAATGCACCCTCTCCTTACCCACTCGAAAGATCAAATCGTCCTCGATGGGGTTCTCTTTTCGCTTCCCGGTGCTGTACATGCTCGCAGGCCTTTTCACAGCTTTCTGCTTGACGTGGCCGCTCCCTGGGGACTTGACGCGCCGCTTCACGCCTTCAGTGGTGGGAGACACGTCGGCGGACCGGATCACCTTCAGCTTAAACGGGCTGCCTCGTATGTGCTGGTCGTAGAGTCTCAGAGACAGGGTGAAGTCTCCTTCCTTCTGGACCGTGTACAAAAATTCGTAGGTGCCGTTTTTGTTGTCCAGGATCTCCCCGTCCGCCACGCTGCCGTCGGGGGTGCTCAGTTCAGCCGTGATGTAGGCATTGCCGGTTTTGCACAGCTCGCCGTCTTTGTCCTTGGTCGTTATGGTAACGGACATGGGCTGCCCGATGATGGTCTGCCGCAGCCCCTCGCCCGTGGCCACCGTCTCGGATGCGACCGCGTTGGTGGTCAGAATGGTCCCGAGGTTGTGGATGGACTTCTTGAGCCCCTCGGTTTCCACGATGAAATCCAGCTGATCGTTTTCACGCGGGTGCAGGGGGAAGTCTTGGTCGGCCAGTTCGTTCAGCTTCTCGCTCATCTGCTTCTTCACCAGCAGCACCTCCGTTTCCGTGCCGTGGTTGAGGGCCTGCGCTGTGAAGTTGCTGCAGCTCTTGATGCTCTCCTGCCCCTGGAGCAGAGTATCCAGCTGCGACTGCAGCACCTGCCGGGAAACAGGGCTGGTGAGCTGTCTGTGGGACTCCTGCCAGGCACGCTGGGGCAGTGCCCTCCTCCTGCAAGAACCTCGCTCTACACCTGCCCACACAGAGCGAGCGGCCTTTTAACCCAGTGAACCCAGTTCTAATGCAAAATCCTAAATTGCATTCCCAATACCTTCTGGAGATTTCCCTCTGGCCTCCCCCTGCCTCATCACCCACCTATGTATTGCTTGGATCACGCCTTTAGATAACAGAAACCAAGAGCGTGGCAAACAAATTGCCACGTTGGACACCTAAAATATGTATTATTCAGTATCTTTCCTGAATGTTCAAAACTCCCCCATCGCCTTGCAAAGGGACAGAAACCAAACAGATGAAAAGCCTCCACAACTGAACATCAGAAGCGTTTCCTCCCTGCTTTTGTGAACAGACATGCAGAGTTAAACAAAGAATGCAGTCAGGGTTTACTTTGAAGTTGACTAACAGGTTGGTGTGGATGAGATGGCAATTAAGGGACGATTCCACATTATAATTAAGGAAGGAAAACAATCCAGTTTAACCCTAAACCCTGAAAGAATTACATGATACTCAACCCCGCCTTCTGTCAAATTATAAATTGTTACTTAAGGTCACAGAATTAAACAGTTCTGCTGCAAACAGGAAAGGAAGAAAAAAAAAGAAAAGAAAGAAAAGCTAGATATTCTGTTGAATGAAAATTCAGTTACTATACAGTGGGGGACTTTGATGGACCCATTTGGGTCCCCTTTGTTGCTGTCAATGACATAGCCAGTGCTGTGAAGTGTCCAATACCACGTCTCTTTCAGAATATCTATGGGAACATGGAGTCTTACTTTGTGTTTGAGGCCATAGTTGACCTCCAGTTCCATAAGCAGCACGCTCTTTCGCACATTCAGCGTCTTCTGGAGCTCATCGAAGGTGGAATGGATGTCATCCACGATGCTGGCCTTTTGGTTGGTTAACTGATGAATGATTTCTGAGATGAACTGAAGAGCAGAATCTATTTCTGGGAGCCTGGGGATGGTTGTTAAAGATTATTATTTAAGATCACTCTGGAAGTGGTCCAAAGTCTCTCCAAACACTCTGTTCTGTCAAAACAACAAAATATCTTTCTATCCTTTCATCATCTTTAAAAAATAATAATGGAATAATGGAATGAATGAAAGTTTGAGGTTCCACACCTATTTCAATCTACCTTCTAATTTTAATAATTGATGGTACTAAGACTTGAAGGTCAAAGAAAAAAAAAGAAAAGACCCGAAGGCCTTTGAAAAGCAATTATGACCAGATACTTCTTTGTTCAGGGGATTGTTCTGGGCATTGCAGGATGCTTAATAGCATCCTGTCTTCTCCCAGATGGCAACAGCATCCCTCCACACAGTTGCGATAGCAAAAATGTCTTTATACGTTGCCAAATGTACCCTGGGGAAACATAATCACCCATGGGTGAGAGTCACTGTTCTAAATATATAGCTGTACCATTTTCCCCAACCACATGAAAACTTATCTAAATTCAGTTTCCTGGGAAGGTCTCATAAGTTTCCAAGTTCTTGTCATTAGTATAGAATAACTACAGTGTTCTCACTCCAACTATTGATCATTGACTATCAGCAAGAGATTTACTATTTTGATTGCTTTTCAACTGGCTGTTAAAAGTTTCTGGCTCCTGTCTTTCTCACAGCTACTCTACTCCTCATGTCTGTGCCAAAGAAAGAAACAGAAAGCAGGAAAACACAAGGGAATTGAGCGTTCATTGCTCAGCACCATTTGGCAGGGCTCACACAGAGAGGAGCCAGTGGACCTAAGCTGTGTGTCCGGAACAACAGCTCAGGAGCTCCTCAGAGGGCCCAGTTTGAGGCATGAATTTCAGAGATCTCCTTTCATTCATCTCATGTTCCTAAGAGACTCTGACAAAAAATGCTGCGACTCCTCGTATCAGGCAGTTGGAGGTTTGCCAAGGGGCAGGGAAGCCTTCACCACTCACTGGTTTATGATGACAGACCCATAATCATAGGAAAATCTAGTTATGACTGAGATCTCGAAGAGTCACATGAACGCATTATCGCACTGAGACCACAGACCATGGAGCCAGGCCTTGGGCACAGAACAGGCCCTGGCTGGGAGCCTGTGGAGGGAAGCCGCACCTTTTGTTGACAGCGTCCAGCTGGACCTGGAGTGAGGCCTTGTGCTGCTCCACCACGTCCTTGAGGGGGACCGTGGGGTGCTCTGCATGCTCGCCCTCAGTGCACTCCCGACACATGGCGGTCTCACAGGACTGGCAGTAAAATTCCATCACCTGTGGGTTACACAAGAAAAGTTCCAAGTTCATGGCCACTGGCTGAGTGCTCACTCTGCAGGAATCAGTTCCTTGCATTTTCTCACTTAATTCTCCCACCCACCCAACATTGTTGGCAGTATTATGTCCAGCTTCATGGCAGAAAAGGAAAAATAAACTTGTTTTTGAGCATTGAGGATTGAACCAAGAACAGTTTAACACTGAGCTACATCCCCAGTCCTTTTTTAAAACTTTGTTTTGAGACAGGGTCTTGTTAAGTTACTTTGGGCCTTGCTAAACTGCTGAGGCTAGCCTCAAACTTGTGATCCTCCTGCCTCAGCTCCTGAGTCGCTGAGATTACAAGGGCGTGCCACTGTGCCTGGCTGGAGGAATAAACTTTCATGCGACATGTCACAAACAAGGTGGGTCCAACTCCAAAGCTACTGCTGTGGCCATAAAATCAGATTTTTGGTAGCTATTTCCTAAGGCAGAACTGTGTAGGATTATTGTTTTAAAGCCTTTTGGTCTTGGACTTCTTTATGCTCTTTATAAATTACTGAGAACTCCATAAGAACCTTTGTGTATATGGATTATGTCTACAGATATTTGCAATGTTAAAAATTAAAACTGAAGCCAGGCATGGTGGCACATGATTGTAATCCCAGTGACCCCAGGAAGACTGCAAGATAAAAACACAGCCTCAGTAATTTATTGAGACCCCTTAATTGCATGCCTGTAATCTCAGCAGCTTGGGAGGCTGAGGTAGGAGGATTGAAAGTTCAAAGCCAGCCTCAGCACAATCGAGGCCCAAAGCAACTCGGTGAGACCCTGTCTCTGTATAAAATTTTAAAAAGGGCTGGGGATGTGGCTCAATGGTTAAGTGCCCCTGAGTTCAATTCCTATTTCAAAAAATAAATAAATAAATAAAGCTGAGAAAAATTTTAAAGCATTAATTTATTAGAAGGTCATTAAACATTGATGTGAATGATATAGTTTGTGAAAAACAGCTACATTTGCAAACAAACAAACCCTGAGAATAGCATGGTTGCCCAGTTTTTGAAATCTCCGCAGCACCTGGCTTAACAGAAGACTGTTGGCTTCTCATGATTGCTTTTGCATTCATTTTGTTGGGACAGCACATAGCCTACAGCCTTTCCAAAGTACCACAGTACATTCTTGAGAGAATGAGAGCAAAAAAAGTTATCTTCATATTGCTGTATTGTGAATACAGCATTGACCTTGTGGACCTCTGGAAAGGATCTTGGAACCCACAAAGGTTCCTGAAGTGCACTTTGAAAATTGCTACTGTTTGGGTCAGAGATAAGCTGAACTGAGCAGTCTGCATTTGGCTCTACCATTTACTTTGCTGAATGACCTTAAGCAAATTACTTAACCTGACTGTGTCTCAACTTCTACCTCTGTCAGTGTAGACAATAATAGTAACCTACTTTAACCTACTTTACTGGGCTGCTATTAGGATTATGTAGGTTAGTTTGCACAAAGAACTCAAGTGATGCCTGGCCCTGGTTCAAAATATGTTCTTAATAAGTAAGAGCGGCTGTGATGATGATAATGATGATGTTATCTGGTTCCCTGAAAATAAAACCACTGTATCCTGATGATCCTGGAAGTCAGTTTCCTTGTGGAGGCAGTCCCTAGGCTCTCAGTGAGAAGTAACATCCTCTAATTTATTAAGTTTTTTTTTTTTTTTTTTTTTCCTGTACCAAGGATTGAATCCAGGGGTGCTTAACCACTGAGCCACAACCGCAAGCCATTTTTATGTTTTATTTAGAGACAGTCTCACATAGGGCCTCACTAAATTGCTGCAGCTGACTTTGAACTTGTGATCCTCCCGCCTCAGCCTCTCAAGCTGCTGGGATTATAGGAGTGTGCCATGGTACCCAGCTATTAACTCTTTCTAAGGTTTTAAGTTTCTGAGTACAGGAACTCACCTACCCAGAGCTTAGGTCAAGCCTTGCCTATAGTAGGAACTCAGCACTGCTGAGTGAGTAAATGAGAGGGTAATCCTAGCTACGATTTGGGTGGTAGGTATTAGGGCAAACAAAAGACACCCCCTGACTTATTAAGACTCACTATTTTACATAGTACTTTCTGGAGTGGATTCTCCCAGGAATAAAACAGCCTGCTGAAACCCCAAGGAACCAGATTCAGATCAAAGACCTTCAAACCATCTTCCAGATTTTAGATTTCATGTTTCATCACAGTTTGAAGTGGGCACATAGTAAGTTAGGGGAACACACTTTTGTATGTGTATTATATATTTTTTGTGGATATTAATTCCATATACTTTACTCCTTTGCAGACCATTTAGGAATGCACTTGGATTATCAGTTGCAAGTTTCCATTCTTGACCCTGCTTCTGCTCAAAAAACATTTCTCTACACATTCCATTGATGAGCATTGGGGAATTCAAATGAAAATCCAAATCTCCTACAGGAAGATCATGATGCTAGGCACTCAAACCTTATTTTGGAGTAGGTCTGATTCAACCTAGCAGAAGGTCCAGCACTTAGAAATGGTTTAAAAATTATTTGCCAAAGGACTGGATGAGCTAAGGAACCCTCCCAAGGGATCATTCCTTCTCTGGGGACAGGCCTGCTCTCTGAGGGAAGACGCTTCAGTCATTTTAAGGCATTTTACATTCTATTCTTGGACAGTCCTTCACATGACCAGTAGATGGAGTGATCTAAAACTATATGAAGTCATATAAACTTCCTATCACAAAGTTTTTAGAAATTATTTTGGGGATACAAACTTGGTAAGAATTTATAAACCCTGTATCATATGTATTGTATTCATTATTTGAAAATATTTTTAATCTGAGGGGTTTCTTTTATTTCCCCCCCCTCCAAAGGGCTAGTGGAAGAAAGCATGAAAGAACACTCCTCACTCTATTCTGAGATTTTCCTTTGCATATCGTCATCCTCAGGGATCTGTGAAGTATACATAGTTCTCCTGAAGGCTGAGGAGCCTTGTCGCTCTATGGCTTCAGCAGAAGGTGATTCTTATTCTTTCTAGACTATTAACTGAATTCCTATTTACTAATATTTCACCTTCACTGTCAGTGCTCAGGAAATCCTTCTAAAGCAGACCCAGTGCCGGGCATGCGTAGCACAGGAGAGTCCAAGAGTAGAATGTGAAAAGACTATTCTTTCTAGACTATTAACTGAATTCCTATTTACTAATATTTCACCTTCACTGTCAGTGCTCAGGAAATCCTTCTAAAGCAGACCCAGTGCCGGGCATGCGTAGCACAGGAGAGTCCAAGAGTAGAATGTGAAAAGACTTCTTCCCTCATGTGAGTCAGGGTATTGGGGCTAATAAAAGTGTCTAGGGGAACAGGACACATTAACAGGGCTATTCAATCCATTGGCACACTTCTCATGTCACTCAAGGTTGAGACTGGGAGAAAGGGACATGCCTACATGTCTGGAAAAGGTCTGAGCCAAAGGTAAATTTTATTTGGCGATTGGTGCCCATATTGTGTTGAGAAGTCACAAAGGCATATACCATATTAGTGGTGTTTTCCTGTTCTCAGTTAAGTTCTCCAGCAGTCTGGGAGTGAGATGACAAAGGATGAGAGAGAGAGAGAGAGAGAGAGAGAGAGAGAGAGAGAGAGAAATAGATACAAAGTAATATAGAGTCACTAAAAATATAAAAAGTCCTCAAGGCAAGAGCCCATTATTTACAAGAAAGACTAAGCATCTGTTGCCATCACTAATCCTCTTTCAAATTAATAACTGAAAACAGTTGATGGCCGAGGAATGACATCACTGAAAACGGCAGAGTAAAGAAATCTGTCGTATCACTAGCTGATTAGACTAAACAGGGGAACGTGTTAGTGGCCACACATGACAAAAATCAAAGACTTTACAAAATTGGTTCTGAAAAGTCAACAAACCAACAAGAAGACAAACAAACAAAATAAAACAAAACAAAAAACACAATAAGGAACAACAAAATATCATAGGGAGGAGGGAGAGTCTGCATTCTGGAGTTGAAACATTATAATATTTTAAACGTCCAGTTTCCATTAAAAAAATAAAGCTTAAAAAAAAGGAAAACAAACAAACAAAATGAAATGAAAAAAGAGAAAAGGAAAGAAAAGAAAGTATGGCCCACATCAAAATACAAGAAATTAATAGAAACCGTCCCTCAGAGAGTCCAGATTGAATTTCCTAGATTATTTATTTATTTTGGTCCAGGGGTTGAACCCAGGGATGCTCAACCACTAAGCCAAATCTCCAGCCCCTTTTTATTTTTTATTTAGAGAGGGTCTTGCTAAGTTGCTGAGGCTGGTTTTGAACTCATGATCCTCCTGCTTCAGCCTCCCAAGCCACTGGGATTACAGGCCTGGGCCATCGTGCCTGGCTGAATTTACTAGATTTTAAATAAACCTCCTTTTATATATCCTCATGGAATTAAAAAAAAGAAGAAGAAGAAGAAGAAAAGGAAAGAAAAAGAGAACTAATGGAAACTATGAGACCATGTCTCATCAAATGTAGAATATTAATAAAGGGAGAGAAATTATAAAAAGGAACCAAGTAGAAATATTTTAGAATCAAAAGTAATTATATTAAAATGTGGTGGTGCATGCCTGTAATCCCAGCAGCTTGGGAGGCTGAGGCAGGAGGGTCGTGAGTTCAAAACCAGCCTCAGCAATAGCAAGGTGCTAAGCAACTCAGTGAGACCCTGTCTGTAAATCAAATATAAAGAAAAAAGGGCTGGGGATGCAGCTTAGTGGTTGAGTGCCCCTGAGTTCAATCTCTAGTACTACCCCCAACAACAACAAAGATTGAAAAAGGGCTGGGAATGTGGCTCAGTGACTAAGTGTCCCTTGGTACAATCCCTAGTATCTGGGAAAAAAAAAAAAGTAAAATTCACTAGAGGAGTTCCACAGATGTGAGCAGGTAGAAGAAAGAATCGGTGAAGGAGAAGACAGGACCATAGAGATGACACAGAAATAAGAAAAAGGAATGAAGAAAAAGTCACAGAACCTG